GGCCTTTCTCCAAGAAGTCTTTGTCGATCTAAATCACCCTGCATTTGTGCAAACGCATGTTCACCAATATTCACGGATGTTTCTAATTGCGCAGATAGTTCTACACTTTCATCACCTATAACAAATAAATGTAATATTGTAGCGCATAACTTTTTTTTTAATTGAAATATATTATTTTTAATACATCGTTGTTACCATGTAAAGCATGTTGAGGATTATCGATAATTCTAATTTGTCGATCAGGAAGTAAAGGTTCTCCATCCGTTCCACCTATATCATTTGGTAGTTGCCAACACGCGTTATCTTGCTCTGCTAAATTTCTTGGGAAATAGAGTGGAAGAAGAACTTCGTAAATTCCAAGATCACACGGTTCCAATACAAGTACAATACATGTAACAGAATCACCATATTGCTCCAGAAATCTTCTTATTGTTCCTATTATAATGAAACATAATTGGGGAAAGATTTATTATCGTATATTTAATGAATTTAAAAATAATATTAATTTAATTAATTTACACTTACTCAGTGCAATATGTGCTCCCGCATCGGGAGGATAATTTCTTCGTACAGAATTAATTACTGGTAGCGCAATCGTGCGTAAACCAAGCTCTCGTGCTTTTTGTAAAACATTTCTATACAAAAACATGAGTAGTATTTTTATATATATATTTAAATATGCTTTATATTATTTATTATAAAATTTACCTATAGCAGCAATGTAATGTATTTTGAGCTGCTGTTTGATACTTTACATTGTATACTGGTCCTACAGTATGAATAATAAAGCGTGCTGGTAAACCATGAGCTTGTGTTACTCTTACTTCACCAGTTTTGCATTCTGTAGATAATTATTTACATTACACAATTCAATATTGATATAATTATTTTATTTTCAATTTTATTTTCTACTTTATAAACAATACCTTTGATTTCATTAAATATTTCCATCTTAAGTGCTGATCCAGCTCGAACAAATATTCTTTGGCACATAGGACTATTATCATCCATTGTTTCATTTGTGGAATTTACTACTGCATCCACTTGTAAAATAGAAATATCCCCAGTCCTAAAAAATAATAATATTTATAATATTTTTCTGTAAATTAAATAAATCTTTGTAAAGTTATTTTATAGCTTACCATAACGCAAGCTTGTTGTTAAGCGTTGGTTGACATGGAAAAGGACTTATAGTATGATGAGTTGGTTCTCCAATAGAATTGGAGTAATCTGTAAATCGGTGTTGGACGGGAAAGTCAGACCATTTTTTCAATGCGCCCGTCTCCACCACATCTGGGGCAACACCCAAGGGTTCCATGAGCCTCATTCAGCTGAAAATAAAAAATATTCCATATTATAAATAAAATACAAATTGTTCTTATGCATACATATAACCTCACATTCTTCTGTCAATTAAAGTTTAAAATAACCCGATACAAATATTTCATATATTTTCTGAAATATCTATGAGCCTCTTCATGCAATATTTCACCACTTTTCCACATCATTCATTCACGAATATCGAATTCGCTTCGTTATACTCTTTCGCGAAATGTCACGCTGACAGTTAAAGCGCATGCGCGTTACAGCGCTCGAGATGACGCGAAATTCAAATCGTATCAAACGCCACGTGTTTTATCGAAACGATATAGGGAACGAGATACCAATATTATAAGTATGAATCATAATAGAAATTAAACGACACTATATACGGATATACGTGGAACAATACGCGCGAAGGGAAAATTTCAATCGTAAGCAGTAAAGCAGTGAAGGAAAGCGAAGTCGATAGATGGAATCTTCCCAAACCGAAGATGAAATACTTGCTGATGCGCGGACTATCTCCGATATTGTAGAAACCTAAAAATAAACAGTGCCATCGATGAAAATCTGGGGCACACCCCGGGCTAATGGGAACAGCGGGCGTCCAAGGACGTAACCCCGATCGGGAGTTTCGAAAAACAACTTAATTCGTGGACGACCCGTACCGTCCTCCTGTGCACATACAGTCACGTGTTATGCGTTAAAGCCCGTCTGTGTTTGTCTCCTTCTACAACAGTGTTATGTGTGCGTTTGTTGTTGGACATAGAATGTAGGCTTCCCTAATAGCAAGGAGACAGAACTTGGCGCCGTCTGTCCTGCTACGGAACTTATATCTTGACAACCTCATAAAGAAGGATCGTTGACCTTCTTACATTTACTATATAGGTCCTCGCAGCCCTTTTCGAAAGGAAATCTATTCAACCACCTGAGGTTTCAGACATCAATGCTCGACAAGGGATGAAAAATTATGTCGATTGACAAAAAGGATTCAATTTTTATTCGATTTGTAAATTTTATAATTTATTGTAAAAAGGAAAAAATAATTTTTCAAAAAAGAACAGAACTTCAAATCATTAATTTTCTTAATGTTTTCTAGGAAAAAAAAAACAATTGATGTAAATAGATAAGGAGAAATTCATACTCAGAATGCATAATTCATCAAGATTCATATCGATCACTGTCTTCTTCTTTCATCGAAGCTTTCCATCGCGAAAGAAATTCGAGATATTATTTGCATAAATCCATTCGTCCAATTCATATTACAAGAAATATCGATAAAAATAAAGAAGAAAAAGAAGAAGGAAATATCGTGAAAACGTGATATATATGTCTATGTCTAATGTTTATTAATTCGTATTAATAGGGATATAGGAAGGCAGAAATAGCTTGCGCTTAAGCATCCATAACTTCTTATGAATACCGCTCTTATCAGGAAACAGAATTCGAGAGGCAAAATAACATTGTACAATGGAAAAAATTAGCATTTTTATGGCGGCACCGCGCGCAAGAGATACAAAACCTTGACGAATGTGGAGCAAAATGCTTCATCGATCGTATAAATGAATTCTGATGTTTACCCTGCAAAGTTCTCGAGCGCGCGCGTTAAGAACACATCCGGTTTAATCGATTTTAAAGGGAAACATTGTCTGCAAAGATCGAACCAGAGCTACGTGTGGGGTCACGGCCATGTATTCTAGATATTCATTTCTAATAAAGTGGAACTTCGATACTTTTTAACAAACTTAATCATCATGTATAATGTGAAAAGTAATGAAGATAAAAAAGTTTCTTTTTTTTTTTTCTTTTTTAATAAATAACGATGCAGATATACTGAGCTTTCGTTATTATTCCTGATATTTACTGAAAGTTATTTAATGTTACAAGTTATTTAACGTTACAAGATTATAAACTTTGAAATATTTCTTGCGTAGAAAATAGCACTTTTGTATAACAAACGAGTACTCTGATGTTCTATTTCTTGAAAAGTTTTTAATTAAATTTAATCTCGCCAAGGAGAATGAAAGGTCAGTGACGTGAAGTAGCAGCATCTTTTAATTAAATGAAACTATCAAACGAGCCATAAATATATATATATAAAAGGTAAAAATTTTAAATTCGTGAAATGTGAAATATACATAGTTTTGAAACGATTTTCAGAAATGCAAATATGTTGTTGCACTAAAATTGTTGCTGCTTTTGAAAGATCACTTCAAACTCGACTTGCCACGAAAGGGTTAATATTTCGATCTATTCCAAGCACAAAGGCAAATGGCGAAGAGTTAATCGACCGTAAAGGACCCTCCACTTTTACCATCAACATCCTTGAAGATGCATTCGAAATGAAGCTTCACATCCAAAGTACTCTTCTCAACCTTACCTATCTTTCTCTATTTCTAACAAACTTTCAGATCATCAATCATTGGAAAAAAAAAGAAAAATTCCTAGAACAGGAGAAAAGAGAGAGATAGAAATTTTCTTGCACCGAGATACAAAAGTGTTGCAAAGTTTTCTCATTTTTCCTTCCTTTTTTTCCAACAATTTTACGCGACATCGCATCGATCGAACGAGTCGTACTCGGCTGTCTGGCAGAGTTCTCGTTTCGTTCGAGGAAAACTTCCATCTCCTTTGTCCCTCCTTCTGCCCTGGAGACCTCCATTTCTACGGTTTCGTCTATCCTTGACGAAAGATAAAGCTATCTCCCGCTATGACCTAGATTAAACGATTATCAATAGAGGCAGTTTCCTCTTCTATCTCTACTCAAAAGCTCAACCCTTTAGTTGATTCCGCGTAATCTTTATTCTCTTCTTATAATTCCATTCTTCAGGTGCAAGTCTTGTTTTCACCTTGCGTGACTACGCTTTTTCATCGTTCAACTCGATATATAAAATCCTGTCGGAAGTTTAACCATATATTGGGCAACTAAAATTGAAATATTATCACGCTTTATTAATCATTCAAGTCGTTTATTGAATGCTCTATTTGATCGTTTAATTTGTGAATTAAACTTGTTGAACATTGTTTTTTTTTTATTAAATCATTTAACATATTCTCTAATCTTTTCTTTTTGAATTAATTATGCATTTTGAAATTAATGAAGATTTTGCAGTATGTCATAACTTTTAATACGAAAATTATTATTTTGTTGAAATAATAATACAATATTTTTATTTTTATTTATTTAACAAATTTTTTTAAATGTATTAATTAAATATAAAAAAAATATAAAAAAAATATTTATAAGTATAATAAAAGATTCAATTATCTATTATTGATAAAATCAATATTCCATAATAACAATTGTAATTGATTCACTATTGGTTATAATTATCATTTTTATTTTTATTTTAGCGAAATTTTAACAAAATCGCGATATATTTGAAATGTCTAATATATTTATATTTCAACACAGTGCAACAATATTGAAAAACATTGCTTTAGCAGAATTTCATTGTATTATTTAATTAAATCTTATTACATATCGTTAATATATTTGATCACAATAAGATTTCATGTGAGGCTCGAAGTAATTATATACAGATTATTTTTTGCTCACGCGATATCATGTAAATTTTTGTTTGATTTAATAATTTTTATCTCGATGAGTGAGTTCTTACTTTCATGATGGAATGAAGTAAAATGTATCCAGTTTCGGATAATTTCGGAAAAATTAATTAGCCCGGAAGTTATACATTTTCCTCTCAATCTCTTGAATGCATCAGCTCAAACGAGTTATTGGAAATTGCCATTACTCAACAAGGTTCGCGGAACAACGTATTCGTCCAAGAATCGATCGGGAACAATAAACGCAAATTAAGTTCAGAAAGAACACTTAAACCATACTTTCCTTTTAAATAATTTTCCAGATTCTTTCTATTCCGTAATTGCATTAATTTTAAATAAATTTTAAATAAATCAGTCAATAGAATTTCCTAAAAATAATTTTCTCAAAAACTTTTTTGGTTTTTTAAGTATTGATGAAATAAATATGGAATTAAATTCGATATTGCTTGAATATATAAATAACTTAATTTATAACTTATATAATATAAATAAGATTTCGTTTGACTGAAGAATATAAATTTCAAATCAAACGTTCTTAAAAAAGTTTCAAATCAAACAAACATGCATAAAATTTTCTTGAATATATTTTTAACTATGTTAAATAGATTTGAATTTTCAAATATTAATGAGAATTGGAATTAAATTTGAATATTGAATATAATAAAAATTAAAATTGAATATAATAATAATAATATATATATGTATAAAATATATACAATTATCAAAATTATGATGTTGTTTATTTATAAACTAAGAATTTTATTTTTTAATTACATTATATAAAATTATAAATTAAATTATTCTATAAATAATATTTCAAGTAATCTAATTTTAATTACATGGAATGATTTCTTATAAAATTTTAATTTTAAAATTAAATTTTTTCATTCGTAAATTATAAATAAAGAATGAAATAAATAATATAAAATTTTAGTGAAGAAAAAAGAAGCGAATTGCAGAAAAGTTTTTAAAAAATTCTTAAATAATTT